GGAGTGGGACAGAGCTGCTGCAGATCCCAGCACCTGCAGCCCAGATAGCACAAAGGGAGTGGCCATGAACCACGAGTCACAGAGGAGTCCATGCTGGGTGCATCGGGTTCTTCCCTCACAGCCTCCTGCAGGAGGGCAGCTTTCCCTTCAGGCAGTGTTGGGCAAGCTTGTATTCCATGTGCCCTGGGATCACTGGAGATCACTGGGCAAAGCAACAGCTTTGCTTTTTGGGTGACAAAGGGAGGCAATGCCTCTTTCTCCTCTTTGATGGGCCCAATCAAATACTGGTTTAAAGCCAGAACAATTATGTGACTCACACCTACAGCTGCCAAAAAAGAAATTGATTCAATATTGCAATAGTGAAACTAAGATAGGAGAAGCAGTTTCTTAATATCATAAACAATTACTTCAAGGAAGCATTTACTCCTAGAAATGGAAGTGAAGAAAGTATGTATGGCTTAGCCCCATGGATCACACTGTGCAACAGCTTGCAAAGACTAAACAGATGTCCTGAGTCACTACCTCTTGAAAAGCAATTAAATATGATAAAGGCCTTCAAAAACTATGTGGCTTCTTTTCATCAAGATTCTCTGGCAGAAAACACTGAGGAGATTGCTTGCTGAGATTGTCTACAATTTTCTGATGTAAAACTGGGATTTTGTGACTGGAGGTGCTCCAAGAATGGATGAAGTGGATCAGTCAGTAGATACAATACAGCGTTTCAAGGCATACCCAGTCACCTTAGTGAGTTATTGCAGGGAAGCAAACAGAGCATCTCTGCTGAGAGGATTCCTGGCATGACTGAGGGGTTTCTGAGCTGCCCATGTGAAACAGGAAAGTTGCAAGGGGTGATTGTTAAAACTAGAACAACTGACTCACAAGAATCCTTGGGGCTTGAATTTGTCTCCCATGTCTACCTGCCCATCAAATCATCTTGCAGGGAAATCTCCCCCAGTAATGCTTTGGTTTCTGTGTAAAGACTGATGTTATTTCAGCCTTGGGTCAGTGCAGCTGATTCCTCAAGGACAGGGTTCAAGACAAAGGGCTCAATTTAAGGAATTGGTAAATTGGTTAATGTATGACATAGCCAATGTATGACATTTCACAGATGAAATTTCTTATGTAAAAATGGTATGTACTAGGAAGACTACGAGGAGGCTGTGTGCTGTGTGGCACCTGCATCATTTTTGAGGGTCACAGTAGGGCTGTGTTAGCTCCTGCTCGTGGTGCAGCAGTGGTGGCAAAGGCTAACCAGAAAAAGGTGGAGTGTGCAGGAAGGGGAGAGGAGATCATGGGCAATGTATGGTAGCTTTCCCTAAGAAACAGTGGCATCACATCTGGGTGAAGAACTGGTGTCCAAGGGACAGTGATGGTGTGTCAGACAGAATGTTGTTTGATTTAGGGGAGAAAATTGGAACAACTCTGAAAAATATTCATTCTGCATTGTCCTGCTAGTGCTGGCAAGGCTAGAGCTGGTAAAACAATTCACACTGAAGTGATGAAGAAAGTGAGAGTGTTGGGAGGTTACTATTCCTTTTGTAAACCAGTGATCAGTGAACACCCCACCCACACCAGCTCACAATTTTCTCTGAGGTACAATGTTCTAATCCTTCCTGACTGATAAATCTGCTCATGTGGCCTTCACTAAATAGCCAGCTTTCCTCTTTTTGTCCTGGTGTTGCTCCTTTTACTTGGCCCAGCTGGTCCAGATTCTCTGTTGTCCAGTTTCTATGAAAATCCTTCTTTCCTACAAAATGTCCACATCCTGAATGACTCAGCCCTAAAATGTTCTCCTATCCCACCAGTTCAGCCTGTGCCCCTTTTTCAGTCTCAGGCATTGCTCAGGTCATTGCTTGGGTACCTATGAGGAAGAGAGAGCACAACAGCACCTCTCATCCCGTTTTGCATTCAGGTCTCAGCATGCTTAGGGACTGCAGCCCCGAGCCACGTCGAAGGAAAGCCCTGCTCAGCTGCAGGCTGGAGAACGTGGCGGGGAGACGATAATCACCAGGGATGCTCCAAACTTGGCCGCACAAGGCGGGGAGCAGCCTGACAGAGCAGAGCGGAGGTGCTGGCACTGCGGGGAGCCTCCGCTTGGGCAGGAGACCTCTAGTGGTCTTTTCCAGCCGAAATCCTGCTGTGAAACTAGGACCTGAAATTCAGAGCTTCCGTATTTCCCTGCTTCGTTAACCCACATCCCAGTGAAGTGAGCGAAATTCAGTGATGGGGAATTTTCAGCTTCCTGAAGTAAGACAGCCCAGAGGAGTAGAAATGCTGTGTCCAGTTCTGTGTCCCTCCGTTTAGGAGGGATGCTGAGATGCTTGAGCATGTCCAGAGGAGGACAACAAGGCTGGTGAGGGGCTTGGAACACAAGCCCTGTGAGGAACGACTGAGGGAGCTGGGCTTGTTTAGCCTGGAGAAAAGGAGGCTCAGGGAAACCTTATCACTCTCTATGAGTTCCTGAAAGGTGATTGTAGTCAGGTGGGGTGGGTCTCTTTCACCAGGCAGCGACTGACAGAATGAGAGGACACAGGCTTAAGCAGTGCCAAGGGAAATACAGGTTGGATATTAGGAAGAAGTTTTTTACAGAAAGGGTGATAAAGTTCTGGAATGGTCTGCCCAGGGAGGTGATGGAGTCACCATCCCTGGATGTGTTTAAGAAAAGACTGGATGTGGCACCCAGTGCCATGGTTTAGTTGAGGTGTTAGGGCATGGATTGAACTCGATGATCTTTAAGGTCACTTCCAACCTACTCATTCTGTGAATTCTGTGAAGGGAACTTCTTGGTCATAGATTTTCCCCACAAGGGAAGTAGCTACTGGAAGGTGCCTGGACTGCATGGACTGTGTGACTGAGAGGAGCTGGTTACTCATCCTTTAAGCACATTAATTTTAGGCTCAGGTGTGCTTTCCCCTCCATGCTGTTGCTCTCTGAGGCTCAAATTTGGCACTCAAATTTGGAAAGGGGTGCAGTGGAGTGTTCACATGGGCTGGTTTTGTCTCAGACACCAAGCAATGCTTCAGGAAACACTTTTTCAGCAAACTTTTGGTCCTTGAATGTGAATCCTGAGAACCCACTTGGCCAAGACCCTGAGCTATCTGACTGAGCTTCAGACAAGGCTGTGTTATGAACGGTAGGAAGTCTGAAGGATAGAAAGAGATGTAAAGGCCAGAAATAACTGCTGTTCCCTCTCCTTTGTGTCCCCATTTTCCTTCTCTCTTCCTGTCTCCCTGGTGCTCAGGCCAAGAACACCATTTGCAGCCTTGAAGGCCTTGAGGAGTTTGAGCAGCTGGAGATTCTGCACCTGCGTGACAACAAGCTTGAGGCCCTGGATGGATTCTCTAATAGCATGAAGTGCCTGCAGTACCTCAATCTACGGTGGGTCCTCCCTGCTCTGTGTTGGGACCAGAGATCCCTTCATCAGACTGCATTCCCATTTAGATATTTAGGATTTTCTGGGTTTTTTTTGGAAGTTGAAGACCTGGTAGGGATGGGTTGATATTTACCATCCTTAACTTGTGTTCAGCAGCTGTCTAGGATGTAACAGCCAGGGCCTTTCCTGGGCTTCTTAGAAAATATCAGCCTCTCCAGTCAGCTGGGTCCCTCAAAGTGTGTTCTCTGGGTTCTGCCTGCAAATGCCCTTTAGTTCTCAGTGTTTGCCATGCAGGGCCATGGTGATGTCACACGGGTCAATGCCTGGCTGAGCACAGAGGAATCCAGAGATGTCCTTTTTGTGCCTCACTCTGGGGAGCTGCTGACAGGTCTGGATCTTAGGTGACAGATCTGTAGTCTAAGGCCTATGGTACCTCATGCTGCTAAGTTTTGCTTTTTCTGTCTTGTCCACTTATTGTTCCAAAGGGATTTCACTACTCACACCGGTCTCCTTCCCCTGTGCTTCCTTTTCTTCAGGAGCAATGGGATCAAAAGCTTTCAGGAGGTGGAAAAACTGCACGTCCTCCCCATGCTGCAGGCACTGGTGCTGATGGGCAATCCGTGTGCTGAAGAACCCGATTACCGGCTGCAGGTCCTGTCCCGGCTGCCCCAGCTGCAACGCCTCGACAAGGAATTGGTTGATGAAGAGGAGCAGGAAGAGGCCAAGAAAATCCGACAGACAAGGAAGGAAAAAGAAAAGGTGAGAACAACGCAGTGCAGGGATTAGAGGAGGTGGAGAGAAAGAAAAAGGACCAAGCATGCTGATAAAGCCTCTCCTCCACTATATTACATGAGGAGAAGGGTGAGGGATGTCAATCTCAAGAGCACAAGAGCCTGAAAAAGAGGCCAGTGTTTGCAACCTGGTTGTGGTGGCCAGCATGCCACCCTGCTGCCATTCATGACCCCACTAGCAAAAGAGGGCAGTGAAACGGGAAGAGACATTGGGCATGGAGTCATTAACTTCTCCCTCCTCCCTTCTTCAGGAAATGGAAGAAGCTCTTGAGAATACAGTGGCTGAGTGACCCATTTTTAACACCTGTTCCCAGAGGCTGTCAAGATGTAGTGATGCCTTTCCCTGTTTGTGAGGCTGAGAAAGTGAGAGCTGTAGGTACCAGCTTCACCTCATTTTACCTCTGGAGAAAAGAGGAGTGCTACCCACCCTGGTCCTGCCCTGAGGCACTGCAGTGTTTTGCAGTCACTGCACTGTGGTCTGTTCTCAGTAGGCCTAAGAGGGGAAAGGGGAGAGTTACAGGTTCTGTGGTTCGATTTGATTCCCAAAACCCCTGCAAGATTTTCTGATTTGAATAAAAATAATTAATGAGCCTGGAGTGACTGGGATTGTTTATCCTGCACACCCACTCCTATTCCCTGGCTCTCTCACCCTCATCTGTCTACGTCTATCCCTTGCTGCCTGCCTCTCTCTGTCTCTCCATCCCCTACGTGCTGTTTGCAAAGCTTTGCTAAATCCTGACTCATCGCAGCTCTGGGTCACATGCTGCTGTCCCGGCCCTATCAGGGGCGTCTCCATCCTGCTGCTGCCGCCACCGTTGGCTTAGAGGACACATCATCTCCCCTTGAGGTCCTGCATCCCTCCTCAGCTTCGTCCTCTCTCCTTCCTACCAGCACTTTCTCAGTCTCTCGTCCACCCCTGCCCTAGGAAGGTAAGTGTCTCCCCACGGCCAGCACACCCCTCACTGCGTGCATGTTTCTGCTGCCCACCTTGTGCCCTCCAAACCCCACACGCACTTTGGGGTCCCTGCGGGGAAGGACCACGGTGAGCGGCATTAACAGCTCAACTCCCCTCACTTCCTCCCCCTGCTCCTCCCACCTCTGTCTCCTCACCCCCATCCTTCTGACTTTTCTTTCATATTTTAATTTCAGGTACTCCCTCCTTCCCAAACCCCCCCCTTTCCCCTCCCGGCAATCATCATTTCAGACGTGAACCCAGGGAATTTCAGGAGGGGGGGGCAACCACCCAGGATAGGTGGTTCTCCCAAGGGCACTGCCGGGAGGTGCTGCGGGATGGAGCTTCCCCGGGGGAGGGGTGGTAGTGGGGAGAAGGCAACGCTCAGTCGGGGCACCGCTGGGGAAAGGATCCAGCCTCGGAGCGGACCAGCCCCCCCAGCCTCCCGAGGTGTTGACAAAATCACGGACGCTCAGGGAGAGGGAGGGAGAAGAGGGGATGTTTTCCTATTTGCACAGCCCCACACCACAGGGGAGGGGGAGAGCAGGGAGAGGAGGTGACAGGCAGGCAAGCAATAGCTGCATCAGTCACGACACTGCAGCAGTGCGGGCTTCCTGGGAGCAGTGCCCAGCCCGGGGGAATGGCAGTAGCACACGGGAGTGCTGGCGGTGCTCTGGGGGAAAGGTCTCCACCGTGCTGGCCTGGCAGGGACAGGGAATTGCTGCCAGCGCCAGCTCCACAGGAAGGCATTGCAGCAGCACCAGCCTCCCAGCGTACGCTGCCCAGCCCCTGTTCACGGGGGCTGCACAGCCTCCTCTCTCTTCCTGGATGTGGTCTGTGGCTTCCCAGCTATGGCTCCATCCCAATCCCTTATCCCAGCTTATCCGCCTCTGACCTCCTTTCAGGACAGTGCAGCTGATAGCAGGGATTTCAGGGTGGTTCTGTTCAAAAGAGAGCAAAGGCAGGGGACACGGGGCAGCAACACAAGTGGAGAAAAGGCTTTAAAGGACTACAAGGGAGAGAAGATCATGTAAGTGATAGGGTGGGGCAGGCAAGGCTGGATTTGGGCATGTCATTTGGCTTCCTCGGATCTGGCTCCAAGAGGGGCAGGTGGATGCGACCACAGGGATGTGACCAGGGACAACGTGACCAGATAAGCAGAGAGCCACAGCATCTGGCACGGGTGTGCTGTCAAAGATGACTTTAAGCGGGGTCCTGTCCCTCTGTACCCCGTGGAGGCTGTTGAGTCACAGCCAGGACACTGCTGCAAAGGAAGCTCACGGCTGGCCGAGCCGGCACGACTCTGGAGGAAGTTCCTGTGGTGTGTGCCAGATGGCGTGAGGAGCACTGCCAAAGCGGCTGATGGGGGATCCCAGCCCAGATGGACATGGTGGAGGGCCCTGTGCAGCCTCCAGAGAACCCTGGAGTCGCTGACCGCAACTCCCCACACGAGAAGCTCTGGCTGAAACTTCAGAGCAGCAGCACGATTTCCTCACGCCCTTGTGATTTCCACCCACCCAGGGCAGTGGCGTCGAGCGCTGGCTCCAGCTTCCCCATCCTGCTTCTCAGCTCCCCTCGGTGCTGGAATGTGCTGGCTCAAGCTCATTTTCCCCTGCCCTCGTGCTCAGACCCTGTGCTGGCTGTGCCCCTGCTCGCACACGCCACAGGGAGGTCCTGGCTGGAGCTCTGTGGCTGCTCTGGCCTCTGCCAGCCCTGCTCAGAGCTGAGGGAATCATCTGTGGGAGCCAGGGGAGGAAAACGTGGCAGTGCTGGGAGCATGGGGGGGACACATGCCTCATTGCAGCACCCCAGCATAGCACAGCCCCACAGCCAGGGGAAAGAGAAGACGGCATGAGGAGCTGATTTGGAACCCCTGGAGAGCAAACTGCAGCAAGAGAAGCTCTTTCAAACAGCCATCATTACCCACCAGCATGTTTTCTACTTCAGGTTTAACCAGGTGCCCCAAAATACTAGGCTTCCTCACTGCCCCCCACCCAGCAAAGATCCAGCCCAGACTCATCTGCTTCCCTGCCTCAGGAGAGGAGCAAAGGGTTGGCAGCTGGGCCAGGTGCCCCCTCCCTTCAGAGCCCTCTTTGCCACGTCTGAGGCACCGTGGCCTTCAGCAAGATGGCTCCTCAGGCTGCCAGGCTCCACGCTCCCGCCGCCTTGGCACAGCCTGACCCCACAGCTCACAGGGACACAGGGACACTGAGCAGGCGCTTGGCAGGGGGGCATGGCTGGGATCTGGGACATCCAGGCTGGGATGGCCCCCCTGCCGTGGGCTGGATCGGGGCTGGGGGTCCCCCCTGGCCGGCTGCCCCCTGCCCTGCCCACCACGCTCGGCTGGCTCCCCGTTCGCTGCACAGGGACACAGCACCGCTTGCTGTCTGGCCCGGCAGGCGCTGTCCTCGCCTCCCGGCAAGGGGACAGGAGATGCCAGGAGCTGCTGCCCTGTCCTTGACACCAGAGCCGGGAGCACCTCCCTGCTGTGCCAGCTGATCCCTCCCTCTCTGCTGCCCGTGGCACCCTCCCCATCCCTGCCATCCAGGCTTGTGTCGGGCGCTGCGCTGTGATGCAGGGAGAGGCAGAGTGCTCCTAGTTTGTCAGCTGCAGCAGAGGGACAAGGCAAATTCAAACAGATAACCAGTTCCTGGAAAAATGTATATAGATTCCTGTAGTCTGGGTGAATTTATAAATTTCCTAGGGCAAATAGTTTTAGCCCAAATTTCTAAGGTCACTTTTCCTTGAATTGCCTTGTCTCTGTCAGTCTAGACGTAGAAGGGGTGAGCACCACATCCTGGAGCCTCTCAGAGCTGAACATATCCTGTTCTCTCCTCTCCACAGACTCACCATGGCCGTCGAGAGGATTCATGCCCGTGAGATCCTGGACTCCCGTGGGAACCCCACCGTTGAGGTGGACCTCTACACACACAAAGGTATGTGGGTGAGAAAAGAGACAGAGGGCAAGCCCTGCCCAGAGCTGGTGCTGTGCAGCGGCCTGGCACGCCAAGAGCATGGAGGGTCCTCACGGGTGAACCCCAGCAGACAACAAGTCAGGGGAAGAGGCAGAGACCAAAACTCTGCTCGTGGCTCTGCTTGTGCCTGTGCTCAGCAACTCTGCACACGTGCTGGGCAAATCATGACAAGACACCTGGCTGTCCTGCATGTGACATGAGCCATGTACCTGCCCATAGCAGGGACAGAAGGTCTTTTTATCATAAATGTCTGCATCTTCTCATTGTACCCCTGCTGCAGCTGTGCTTTTAGTCCTGAGGCACAGTAGACGTTTGGTAGCACATCCATGGCCGTGCTCATGGCAGAGGTAAAGCTTTGTTCCTGAGATCTCTGTGCAGCTATGTCCATGCATGGGGCTCAGCTGGAAGAGCTGCATTTGCACAGGGCCCAAAACTGCTTGGGCTGAGGGGTGAGGAGCAGTGAGAGGCCAGAGCAGGCATGCAACCATTGTCTTCCTTCTTCAGTGAGGCAGAAACCTCAGTCTGAGGGGGAGGAAGCTGAGGGTGGCTGTGAGTCAGGCTGCTTCTGGAACTAGGAGGAGGGCTGAGGAACTTCACCCATCACACACAATTCTGGGATCAGTGTGAATCTCTGGGTGCCTGACATCCAAGTTCCTCAGCCTGGAAGCCCTGGGTGCATTTATTTCTGCTGAGGTGCTCCACCTCTAGGGAGACCAGCCACGAGCAGCCAGCCAGTGGGGCCATCCATTTACACAAGCAGTTGCTGCATCCTTTCCTGTGTAAGCAGGGCAGAAGCAGGTGCATGAGGGCTTTTCCTCTTCACCCTCTGCTTGTCTCACGCCCCTGTTTTGCTGTTTCCCAGGCATGTTTCGAGCAGCCGTCCCCAGCGGAGCGTCCACTGGTATCTACGAAGCGCTGGAGCTGCGAGACAATGACAAGTCACGTTTCCTTGGAAAAGGTGGGGACATGCCTGATCCACAGCTCATCCTCGGGGCTGCCTGTGTGTGGGGCTCTGCTGGAGGCTACTGCCCACCCACTGGTGTGACACAGATGTGTCCCACTGCCCTCAGGGAGACCACAGAGGCACAGACTTAGCGTAAAGTGAAAGATCAGACTCGATCTTCCCTTGCTGTCTCCCTCTCTCAGTCTCTCTATTGGTCCTCTCCTTCCCTCTTTCCTCAGTCACTGCATAACAAACCTCTCTCTCTCTTTCTCTCTTTGTTTCTCTACCTCTTCCCTTCTTTAGGGGTCCTGCAGGCCGTGGATCATATCAACAGCACTGTCGCCCCAGCTCTCGTGGGCTCTGTAAGGATTTCTCTTTGTTCCCCCTTGTCCAATGCTTACTCTGGTCCATCTCTGTCCCCTGATCTCTGTCTCTGCCTCTCTTCATCTCACTGGGTTAACAGACACAGCGATGCTCTCTGTGAACCTGGGCACACCCCTCCTGCTCCCCCATGCCTGTGTGTGTCCACAGGAATCTTTTCTCTAGGAGGAAAGGATTTAATTCTTCCTGGTCCACTGCAGCATCTGTGCAGCCTAACTATTCCCCTCGGTGCTTCCTGTAGAGCTCACCCCCTCTTTCAGCTGTGCTCCCCCTCAAGCACTGAATCACATCCACATGCTGTGGCCTCATCCTGGTGTGATGAGCAATGGTTGTACTGTGCAGGGTCTGGCACAGCCTTGCAGAGCAGTGGTGTCACATCTGCAGCCTGTTCACACCTGAAGACCTGGAGCCTGCTTTGAGGAGAGCTGAGCCAAAGCCACATAATACACCCTATGTAGCCCATGGCTGGCTCTGGCTGAGAGCCCAGTTCTCTCCACCCATGAAAAACACCCAGCGTGGTGGAGGGCTGCCTGTGTTGGCTCTAATCTTGCTCTCCACCTCACTCCTGGGGATGGCTCCATCCAGTCTACATTCGCTTGCTTGAGGTTGAGCATGTTCTGTTGTTCTGCCTAGCTTCTGTGTGACCACAGCACCACAAAGCTCCCTGGAAGCTGCCAAAAGGCTGGGTAACCCCCCAGGGGCGTCCTGTGTCCCCAGCAATGCATGGCATTACCTGGGCTGCAGGTGACCCCCTCTCCACCACGGGTACATCCACACTGCACTGCAGCAACACCATCAGGGTTACCTAACCTGACTAAATACCACGGCACCAGTTTCCAGAGCTTTGTGTGTATATGTTCCCCCACAAGCTGAAAAGGTCCTTTTTCCCCCAGCTTCTCCATCAACGCCTCCTCTCCCGCTCATCAGAGCCAGCAGCTCTTCCAATCATCTCCTTCTCAGGAGCTGTTTCCTTCTTGCAGGGCCTCTCTGTTGTGGATCAAGAGAAGATAGACAATCTGATGCTTGAGATGGACGGCACAGAGAACAAATGTAATTCATCCCTCTTTTTGGCTGGGAAATTACGAGCATGGGAGGCTGCAGGGCTGGAGAGGGGGGCACTGTCCAAACTGTGACGAGCCCAAGGCTGGGCTGGCAAGGGCACCCACCCACTGGGCTGGATGTTGCCACCTAAAAAGTCAATCTCCTCCTTTGCCCACAGCCAAGTTTGGCGCCAACGCTATCCTGGGAGTTTCGCTGGCCGTGTGCAAGGCGGGAGCTGCGGAGAAGGATGTGCCCCTGTACCGGCACATCGCTGACCTGGCCGGCAACTCTGACCTCATCCTTCCTGTGCCAGTAAGACTCCTCAGTCCTTGACATCCACCTTCACAAACTCCAAAAGAGTGTTGTTTCCAAAAGAAACTTCAGAGGTGTTGGGAGGTAGATAAGGAAGGGATATGGGATTGAAACATCAGGTGAGTGCACTGCAGTTGTCAGGGAAGCAAACCAAGGCCTGAGATTTGTCAAGTTTCAATGGGAAAAAAGGAGCCTGAGGAGGACACAGGAGAGGTTGTGGTGGGGGGCTGACTGAAGATCTCATTCTTAGCACAAGAAGCAGAGGGCATCATGTGAACCCTGTGGGGCACAGTTCAAAATAAGGGCATATGGATCTTCACACCAGGGGGAAACTGCCTTGAGAAACTCTTTCACAAAGGGAGTTTGTGAAGAAAACAAGAAAAAAGGTCCTGGAAGAGAGACTGACAGCACTGTTGATAAACACATACAGATAAACAGAGCATAGATAAACACACATAACTCAGGAGATGTCTGAGAGAGAAACAGGTGGGAAAATCCTCCCTAACCATGTGGTTTGAGCCACTACTGGAGGGAAGACTCCAGGCTTATGTGTCTTTGGTCTGATGATTGAAGCTGATGTGCTTTTACACACCCCTGTGGGATGTGGCATGTACGGGCATGGTGACACATCTGAGAGCCACCACTCAGGGGTGCCAAGACCAGTTCCTTCAGCTCTGACTCTCTTATGGACTCTTCCAGGCTTTCAATGTGATCAATGGAGGTTCCCACGCAGGCAACAAACTGGCCATGCAGGAGTTCATGATCCTGCCTGTGGGAGCCGAAAGCTTCCGCGATGCCATGCGCATCGGGGCTGAAGTCTATCACAACCTCAAGAGCGTCATCAAGGAGAAGTATGGCAAAGATGCTACCAATGTGGGTGATGAGGGAGGCTTTGCTCCCAACATCCTGGAAAACAGCGAAGGTGAGAGCCCTACAGAGATGGGGTACCCCTGCCTGCAATGCTATGGGTTCCTCTGCCCAGCTCACAGCATTCCCCAGACTGATTCAAAAGATGATGCCTCAGTGTCATTGACCTCCTGTGTTAGGGAATGTTTCTAAGCTCCTTCTCCTTGGGGTGGCCTTGATCTGCCACAGCCTCTCCACACAAACCTTTTATGTGTGTGCACGCTTTTACGAGGCCTTCCACAAACTTGTCTTTGAGCTGTGGAATCACATTTTAATTCCTCCTTGTCCCTTTGGACACAGCCCCTACAGCTCCTTGGCATGTTTCTGTTGCCTTCTGGGCTCCCTTCTACTTCTCCATCACAGCACCAGACTCTCAGTGGCTCTAGGGATCTTCCCAAGGGAGGTTCCCACCAAAAGGCAGAGCTCTCTGCATGGGCTGACTCTCCTGACTGCCATTCTCCCCTCAGCTCTGGAGCTGCTCAAGGAAGCTATTGACAAGGCCGGCTACACAGACAAGATCGTCATCGGTATGGATGTGGCAGCCTCTGAGTTCTACCGTGACGGCAAATACGACCTGGACTTCAAGTCCCCAGATGACCCAAGCCGCTACATTTCTGGGGACGAGCTGGGTGACCTCTACCAAAGCTTTGTTCGTGATTACCCAGGTGGGCTGCTGTGTAGGGCGGCAGGGAATCAGCACCGGGGCTGCACAAACCCTCTGTGTTTTAGGGGTGGGAAGGGAGGCAGCTTTGACTCGTGCCTCTTCGGCTGTCCTTTCAGTGGTCTCCATTGAGGATCCCTTTGACCAGGATGACTGGGAGGCCTGGTCTAAGTTCACTGCCAATGTGGGGATTCAGATAGTGGGAGATGACCTGACAGTGACAAACCCCAAGCGCATCGAGCGAGCTGTTGAAGAGAAAGCCTGCAACTGCCTCCTGCTCAAAGTCAACCAGATTGGATCTGTCACAGAGGCCATCCAAGCGTGAGTCCAGCCCACTGCCCTTGTTGTCCTGTGAATGGGTTGGTGATGAACCACAGCCAGGTGTCACTCTGTGCACTGGGTGAACAGACTTGTGTCTCTACCAAAGTGTAGGATGCTGAGAGTGGGAGCAGAGTGTGCCTGAATCTTACCCTGTGCAGGTGGTAGTTGGAGGAGTAGGAGCTACCTGACTGCATTTCTCACTCCTTGCAGCTGCAAGTTGGCCCAGGAGAATGGATGGGGTGTGATGGTGAGCCACCGGTCTGGGGAGACTGAGGACACCTTCATTGCTGATCTGGTTGTAGGACTGTGCACTGGGCAGGTAGGTGAAAGCCAGGCATGCACAGGCCTGGAGGAAAGCAAAGGGATATCAAAACAGAATACCCTGCCCTGCCATGAGAAACTGGTACAAGTCATAACAGTGTCTTACAGTGTTTGCTTTGGGGAATGCTTTACAGATAAAGACGGGTGCTCCCTGCAGGTCTGAACGCCTGGCTAAATACAACCAGCTCATGAGGTAAGGGGCTCCAGGGATGGGAATGCAGAAGAGAGAATAGGGGAGTGACCAATTGGGTGGGAGAAGCTGAAAGCCTGAGGGTTGATGGGGCTTGTGGGTGAAATTTTAAAAAGACAAGGCACAGAGATGACAGTAGGATCCCGGGGAGGTCTCTGGGGCAGACTCCTTTCCTCCTCCTTGGCACGAGGGTGCAGCCCTGCAGTCACAGCAGCTGGCAGGAGCTGAGCTCCTAGGGCACATGTCAGCTTCCTGCTGATGAGCTGCCTCTCCAGAGCCCTGGTGCCTCCAATTCTCCCTCACTACAAGGGCCTGATGTGTGCTGTCTCTCTCCTGCAGGATTGAGGAAGAGCTTGGCGATGAAGCACGCTTCGCCGGACACAACTTTCGCAACCCAAGTGTTCTTTGAACGTTGTCCCCGGGGCACAGCCACCCTGCTGCTCTTTCCCACCTCACAGACTCTGAACCCCCCTTTCCCTCCACTGCTCCCTTTTTTGCTCTTTCTCCCCACTCTGTCACCTGGTTTCCTCTCACCTCGAAACCCCTCGAGTTCGGGTGTCCCTGGCTAGATGTACCCAGGTGAAGGATGAGAGAGCGGCCTACACCCCGTCCCTCGCTGTGGGGTCGTAAGCATTCCCGGACCTGGGCATTGCGCGTCTCTGTTGTTCGCGCAGGGCCACGCCTGGGCCGCTCCGCTCACGTGCCAGAGCGCGGCAGCGGCTGCCCAGCGCGTTCCCTGGCGTGCCCAAGCATGTGCGGTGACCATGTGTGCGCCGGCCGGCGTGCCCGGACACTGCCGCCATGGCGGCCGCGTCCAGCGAGTGTTGCCAGCGGCTCGCCCTCGTTGTGCATGTGTGTAGGTGTGTGTACGTGTCCCGGCCTACGGCGTCCCTGTGCCCCAGGCGTGCGTGTGCACTGAGCCCCGGTGGGAGCCGCGCGTCCCCCGCCTCCACCCCGGCAGTGTCGTGTTGGGCTGTGCTGTGTTGGGCTGTGCTTGGTGTTGAAGTGCGCTGCTGTGCCGCGCTGCGTGTGCGTGTGCGTGCTGTCGGTCTCTGGCTCAGCACGTAGTACTGCGGGGCAATGTATTAAAGCACATCCGTGAGCAAACCCACGCTCTCATTTGCTTCTTGTGACCTTTCTCTCTCTGTTCCCTTCCCTCTTGCACTCCTTCACCCTCCCCTCTGCCCACGATGTCTGCTTCACCTTCTGGACAGCCCGTGCTCAGCTGAGCAACAGACAAACTACAGATCCCTAAACTCTATTAAAATGTATTTCACACCTGAGTTCCTGACTTGGCCTGATGTTTATTTCTAGTTACCAGTGTTGGGGAAGTGGGGACGTTTTGCCACCAGTGCAGGAGATGCTCACAAGGAAAGGTAACAAAAAAAAAGGCAGAGAGGACTGGCAAGGGGAAGAAAAGGCCCAGCCACTCTCACCTGCTTTCACAGCTTTGTCCCACAGCCAGGCTGCTCTGTTGGCCACCAGCTGGGAAACACCAAAGGGAAGGCATGTGTGATGACTTGCCCCCGTCATCTTCACCAAACCGTGTTGCATGAAGATCTGCTGTGCAGGGACTTTAATCGTGCCTTCCACTGATGTACAGGCCTCAGGGTGGGCCCCCAGCCGTCTGTCTGCTGGACTCAGATGCTGGACAGAAATGGCAAGTCTTTGAGAGAGAAAACGCTGGTTGTCCTCCCCCAAAAGGGGTGTGTAGGGCAGTGACTGGAGGTGTAGGTGGGATGGGTAGTCTCAGCTCCATCTTTTTTCACAGGGGCAACTCAGCAGTACTTGGGGAAAGCTGCCTGTGCTCCAGCCAGTGCCCCAGCAGGCTGGGTGCCAGCAAATCCCAGCGCTTGCTCAACAAACAGCTTTGTTCTGGACTGACTCAAAGGAAGGCGGGGGGTTGGGGGTGCTACTGTGAGAAATACAACTGGAGAATAAATGGTAAAACCCATTATACGTGCCCACCATTATATTCACGTCAGTAACCCTACTACGTTCTTGGGCATACTCAGCTCCTGCCCCACCTCCCTACAGAAAGTTTCCAGACCCTTGCTTAACTCTTGTCTGAGTTTGTTTCTGAGGTTGCTCAGTAAGTCCCAATCCCCCTTGACAGTGTCCTGACACAGACTTAAAAATCCAAAGACAGAACTTTAAACCACTGGCATTTCACTGCTGATCCTTTACTAAACAGCACAGATTAAGCACTAAGTCCAAGAAGGGAAGACAAAGACTTTGGCACACATGCCCAGAACCGAGAAGAGGGTGGGAGGGGGAATGCGAGGGCAGAGACAGGACTGGTTTCCAGGGCATCAGCAGTGCCCATCTCCCGGCAGGGCATGCCTTGTGCCCCGGCCGCAGCCGGGTGCCGCGGGGGAAGGCTCCGCTCCATCTCCCCCCGCCCCGCGTCCCCCCGGACCCCGCGGGCTCCTGCGGCCCCCAGAGCCTCCCCGCGGTCACGGCTCCCGCAAAAGCGGCTGTGTGCGTGACAGCGCTGTTTGCCTGAAGGAACGCGCGTTTTGGGTACAGCCAGTGGGCTGTCTTTTCCCGTTGTACACCTCACTGCTCCTTTGTTTTAGATACTGGGATTTTGTGAACAGTATGGCTACTGCTTAGCAATCAGGGCAGTTTTCTTTTTGGGGAAAAAAAAACAAAACAAAACAACTTTGTTACGTTTCATATTCCCAAGAGCATCTCCCCTTCCACCCCACCCCTCCCATTCGTCCTTTTCTGTGCAAGGAAGGCAATGAAGTGCCCAAGGTAGCCGGCGTTGCCCATTTAAATGCAGCCAGGCTGCGACAGCAGGGAAGTGGTGTACGTGTCCCTACAGTGCGGGAAGAATTTGTTAGTCAAGAGTTTCTGCCAGGGAGGCATCACCACGTCCCTGTGTCAGGGAAGGTGTGTGAAAGCCAGAGGGGATGGGAACACATCCCTCTATAGCAGTACCTCACCTTGGTGCCTTTTCTAAATCAAAAGAGTTCGTCACTGCTGGCACAATGTACAGAAGGAATACGTGATGCTGGTATGTTTGTTTGGGTCACTGCAAATATTTCTCCTCGTCCCGTTCATCCGAAGATGCATATGCTCAGCGGCAGAGATTTGGTTACAGTTCCTTTGCGGTAGGAATGTCCAAGGCTGATCCCGCACGTGAGGACTCCTGTTGTATGAGCTGATGTCTCCATCAGATTGCTGTGTTGTAATGTGAATGCAGTCGGAGTAGAGTAACAGCACGGGGATGGGCTGGCAATGTGACGCTATCTGTGAATGGAAACATTTGTTGGATTTGCTGTCTTTTACCTCTCAAATCGTACTCTGTTTAAATTACATTTGCAGAGCAATGTACAGCTGTTAAAGGGATAATTTAACATTAGCTGCTGCCTCTTCCCCCCTGCCCCCCCAACGCCTGCAGAATTTTTCTTTTTTTTTTTCTAAACACGTGTGTGCACCCATAAATGAGCTGGAGGGGAGGTGTCACTGAACTAGGCTTGTTGTAGAGCGCAGAGAAAAGCCTTAATGATGAAGAGCTACCGAATTTCTCTAGTATGCTCTTGCCTGTCTCAAGAACAGCGGCACGTTGTCCAACCTTGAGAAACCAATACCTTTCATACAGGAGGCTGTCAGGGACACTGTCTTGATGAACATCTGACAAGAAGGCAAAAAATTTGGGTGCTGGGTAATTCCTATGGGGTGCTGGGCAGCTTAATCAAAAGGAGAGCATTTGTCTCTGCTGCTGGAAGACTAAATACAGGCAGCTTGGACAGGTTGGCAGGAGGACATTATGAGGCTCTCTAGGCAAAAATCAGCATACTAGAGCATTGTGTATCTCGGTGTGGAAGCAGCTATAACTTGCTTCCTTATTCCTTCTGTCAAGGAGACTACTATATGCTGTGTGTCAAAAGGGAAGTGGGGCTCCATGTGTTTTTAGAGTAAGAGTTTCACAGGAAGATCCAGATGAGACTTTGGAGGTCTAGACTTCAAACCCCTGCTAACAGCAGGGCCTGCTCCAGACCTAGATGAGGCTGCTTGGGGCCTTGGCCAGGCAGTTTCTAACCATCTGAAGGTGAGGAGATTCCCCAGCCCCTCCTGAAACCTCTGTCAGTGCTGAACTACCTTTAGGGACAAGGTTTTCCCTTTAGTCACAATTTCCCTTCTTGCAAATTTCATGGGCATTTCACTGTGTATCTGTCAGAAGAATCTGGCTCTCACTTCTCTGTAGCCCTCCATACCAAAGGGGAAAAAAAAGCCAAAGAGTAATTGGTTACCTCCTAACTTTTCTTTACTCCAGGCTGAAAGAAACAACCCTTTCTTTCAACCTCCCCTTGTACGCCATGAGCTCTGGCACCTACCTTATCTCATTCCCTCCCCCACAGGACTATCAGCACCTCTCTTGTGCTGTATTTCCTTAAGAAGGATACATCCCAGCCAGGGCCTCTCCTTTTGCAGGCTGTTGTTTGTCCCCTGGTAGAACTGGAAAGCAGTGGGATGGTGTGGCTGGAGAGGTGGCATGTCCTATCTCCCTAATCCGAGGGAGGACCAGCTACAACCCAGGAAGTTTGGCTCCTGGCTGGCTCACAAACTACCCATCCTGAAGAGACACAGCTATAATGCTCTTGGTTTGCCAGGGCCTTCAATCTGTTGATTTCAAAGGTGAGATAATTTTATTTCCCACGTTCTGCAGCCAGCCCACCTTGGTCTTGCTGCACGAGCACACACAAACACTCGTGGTTCTCTTGTCTATTTTCCACCTGTGCTTACCACCCTGAAACAGAGCAGAGTGTGGCTTGACCTAGCAGCAATTTGGCTGTGAGCATTTGTAAGTGGGGAAAAGGAATGGTTGCCCTGATCCTGCTTCTCTTTTGAATCACCTCTGATGTCTCTTCATAAACTAAGAGTGCAGGCCATCCTTGGCTGCCTTCTGGGAGTAAACCAAAGCCTAGTATGATTTTCACAAGGTGTTGGAGTCTCTGCCTCTTCACTTATTGAAATAACAAATGACACTAAAAATCTTGATAATAAATTTAATATTTAAGTCAAGCTTTTGAACTGAAGCAAGTGACCTGGTTATGGAAGATGATGACATGAAAACCATTTGGGGCTTGACACTGTGGTTATATAAACTTGGTGTCACACATTCCTCATCCAGAAGATCTCAGCAATACCAACCACTGCAGCTGCCACAGACAGAGGCTTCTCCTCAAACCACGAACCTTGGGGATCTGGGTATTTTGTTCAGCATCCAGAGAACAAGGATCTTGACAAGATCTTCCTCCTTCATGAATCATCACTTTGGCCTCTAAGGGTCACACACACTGTGAGCGCGGGACGCAAGGCTGTCAGCTCCTAAAGGCGACACTTTGAAGCAGCTGTGACAACTGCAAACGCCACCACCTCAACAGCAATAATAATATTCTGTCTTCTTGTCTGGGGCTCAGCTTGGTGAGGCACTTTGTGAAGCAGATAACGCTTACCCCTGTGCTTGGGATTCCACAGGGTGCTCTATTC